AAAAAAAAAAAAAAAAAGGCAAAAAAATTGGCCAGGCACAGTGGCTCATGCCTGTAATCCCAGCACTTTGGGAGTCTGTGGAAGGAGGATCACGTGAGCCCAGGAGTCTGGGACGAACTTGGGCAACATAGGGAGACTCCATCTCTACAAAAATAGATAACTTACCTGGGTATGGTGGTGTGCTCCTGGAGTCTGGCTGCTTGGGAGGCTGAGGCCAGAGGATTGCTTGAGCTGAGATCGGGCCACTGCACGCCAGCCTGGGCGAGAGACCAAAACCCTGTCTCAAAAGGAAGAAGAAACGCCAGCAAATAGTGCCGGCCCTGCACCTGACGTGGACAGCTCTGCGTGGCTGGGACCCCTCAGAAGCTGGCCTGCCGCTGCTCTGTGAGCTGGCTCACACGGAGCTTGTGATGAGTCCTGGACAGAGTCCAGGGGTGAAGTCCAGACTTGAAATCAGCCTCAGGGAGCTCAGTGGGGCCAGAATGGGCTTAGGAGGGCGGAGGAGGAAGGAGATCTGTGGGCGGCCGGCGTCTCCCTTCCCTGCGCCCTCGGTACTGGAATCGTTTGCTCTGATTATACATGGGTTGTTTTTATTTTTATTTTTTTAAGTAACTTGAGCACCTCAAAACGAAGCCGGAGCACACAGGAGGGTTTTCTTGGGCCGGGGCTGCCTATTCCCAGCCAGGGGTTCAGGCACCCCCCAAGTTACCTCAACAGAAGAGACAAGTGAGATGGAAGGAGACTCTGGTCTTCGGAAAACTAAGTTCCAGGGACGCCAGCTCCCAAAGGCCTGGAAAACAGCCGCAAATGCTCGAGCCTTCGTTTCTCTGCTCTCTCCTCCTTTTTCCTCCCCTGCTTCCCCCACCTCTCGTCCCCCCTCCCTCCCTCCTTTCATCTTCAGGCTGAAAGTTGGATTACCTGATGCCTCCCTTCCCCACTTCCTACCTGTTCACCAACTGGAGAGACCAGAAAGGCAGGGAGAGCTGTGTTCCAGGGCAGCCCCGTGGCGCCAGTGCCTTGTCACCGTCACTGGAGGGGCTGCTCTGGGCTCGGGAGGGGCTGGAGTGCAGCACTGGAGCTCAGCTCCCTCCCAGGTTCAAGCGATTCTCCTCCTGCCTCTGACTCCCAGGTTCAGGCAGTTCTCCTGCCTCTGCCTCATGAGCAGCTGGGACCACAGACTCTGGCCACCTCTCTTGGCTAATTTTTTTTTTGAGTCGCAGTCTCGCATAGTCACCCGGGCTGGAGTGCTGTGGAGTGATCTCAGCTTACTGGAACCTCCACTTCCACCTCCCAAGTTCAAGCGATTCTCCTGCCTCAGCCTCCGAGTAGCTGGAATTACAGGCGCGTGCCACCGTGCCCGGCCACTGTTTGCACTTTTAGTAAGATGGGGTTTCACTGTGTTCGCCAGGATGGTCTCCGCCTCCTCACCTCGTGACCCACCCACCTCAGCCTCCCAAAGTGTTGGAATTACAGGTGTGAGCCACCACGCCTGGCCCCATTCTTTTTTTCAGTGATAGAATATTCTTCCAGGTCCTGTGTAATCATCTTTGTCTTCACTTCTGTCTTGTCTGATGTTAATGTCACCGTACCTGCCTTATATGCTGCTTTTCTGGGTCATCTTGTTTTGGGTGTGCATGGTCATGTGGCCGTTCAGACTGCATGACGTGGCTCACACCCTGTAATCCCAGTGCTTTGGGAGGCCGAAGCGGGTGGATCACTTGAGGCCAAGAGTTCAAGACCAGCCTGGCCAATGTAGCGAAACCCCGTTACTACTAAAAATACAAAAATCAGCTGGGCGAGATGGTGCACACCTGCGATCCTGCTGGGTCTGTCCCACAGACCCTAGCCGACCGACGGATGAAAGGAGTACTCAGATGCAGGTGTGCAGTGTCAGGGCCGCCAGCTGGCTGCCTGGTTCTAGTGGCCCGAGAGCAGCCCCGAGAAGCTGGAG